CTGCTGACGACACAGACAAAGCCATAACCCCACTCCCTCCTCGATGCCCCAAACAGGGACACGCCACCTAGTCTAGGAGTCTTTCCCAGATGGCATTTCTCATGCATCCCTTTTGCTCTAGGTGTCCAGGGTAGAGCATTTGCCTGTTTCTTGGGGCTCCTGTAGCACCTTGAATCCCTGACCAGTACAAGGCAGGATGGTGGTGATGTGGGTGGTGGCCCAGTTTTAAAATAAGCTGGTCAGGGTCGTCCGAGAGGTTTTGGCGGTGGTTCCCAAGAAGTCAGCCTTTTGGGTGGTCATTGGACGTAGTCATTTCTGCAGGCCGTCCTGGGCATGACCTAGTCCAGCCCTGCCATTCTGCCGACAAGGAAAAGGAGGCTTGCTGATAGGTGGCTGTACATACTTCTGTCGGAAAGACTGACAGCTGGGGCCTGAGGTCTTGTCCTGTTCCTAGGGCAGTGACCCTACCTCACACTCTGCTGCTTTCCTCTGTATGAGGGGCTGTTAAGGCCATCCCTGCGGGTGGGATTGGAGGCTATGGTTCTTCTCTCCAGAAAGCCTCCTTTGTGGGATCAGGAAGCAAACCACCTTAGACTACATCAGTGTTTTTCTCCTAGGCCCACTCTGTATGTTGGGAAATACTCGACCAGCCTCTATGCCTCTCCTTCCATGGTACACGAGGGGGTCGCCGTCGTGGTAAGTCTGCTGCGGGGAGCTCACGAATGCAGCCTCCTAACTACTTCTGTTCCATGCTAGCAGAGAACGACTTGGAGTCATATGTGAACATCTTGTTGAGACTTCAAAACATGGGTCTTAAATCCTTAAGCGCAGTTTCTGCCCTGAAAGAGGAACCTGGCGAAAGCAGCTTCCTAAAGACTCGGAAACCCTGGTCGCTTCCTGTTGCTTTCATGTTCAAATCCGAGCTCCCCAGGCTGGCATTCTGGCTTCAGTCCTGCGGTGCTCTTCTGCCAGGCTGTTAGTTCTCTGTGGGACTTGCTCAGCCCAGCCAGATGCATCTTCTCCCAATTTCCTCAAGTTCCCTGTTTTCCTTTCCTCGAGCCTCAGTTCAGGCTGCTTCTCCCACTTCCTTCTTCCTTTTCCCTGCTCTAATTCTTTCCATCCTTTCATGGCCTTCCCAAGTCTGCCTTGAGCACTCTGTGTCTGCAGATCTGAGGCTCGCTCTTCCTTCACGGTGTCTGGTTCTGTCTCTTACATCCCAGCAAGCCCGTGGCTGCCTGTCGTAGCCTTGAGGGGCCGAGGCACACTGGCACGTGGCAGGAGCGTGTCCCACTCTGCTCATTGCATTGATTGCGACTAGTATATCACTGATCTCCTGTACTGGCTTCCGCTTCTGCTTCTCTGAGAGCTTCTTGGAGTTCTGTACACACACCTTCCTGTTCCCCAGTCCCCAGGCATGACGATCTAGAAGATGCTCCTGGTTGGGCATCAGCGCAACATCGTTGCAGCCCGAGGGCAGAGCTTCTCTTGCCCAGCCGTAGGGCCTTTGTGTCTTGCTCTGACCGTCCTGGACCAGCCCCACAATACACATTACCCACCGAGGGGCGTGGCTGTTTCTTGGGGCTCAGGATGGTCATAGGGAGGTGTGTTGTGGGACCTTGTGAGACTACTGTCCTGCCAGGGCACTTGGCCTCACCAACCCTGTCTCCACAGCCACGCGGCAGCACTCTCCCCTTGCTAGAAGGCCCCCAGACCGATGGTGTCACCATTGGGGACAAAGGGGAGTGTGTGATCACACCTAGCACCGACCTCAAGTTCGACCCTAGACTCAAAGAGAAGCACAAGCTCAACTACTTGAGGAATCACTGGCTTCTGATAGGTAAGAACCACTCCGCCAGCAGCCTTAGCCGGGAGTGCACTGCCTCCGGGGGCAGGAGCCGACCTCGCTGCCTCTAGTCCCACAACTGTGTGTCCCGTGCTCACTTCATCGTCTAGACCTTAGGACATCTGTACCCGCCAGGAACATAAACAGGATAGCTGTTCACTGAGTCAGTTCTCAAAAATTGTCTAACTCACATTTCAAAACTCAAGTCCTAAATGACGTAAACGTAGCATAATTAATTACCTGACACACTGAATGTCGGTCAGATGCCAGCGCTGGCACCCACACTACAGAATTCATTTCCCCAGTCCTCACAGCACCCCCGTTAGCAAAGTACCCTTATTACTTCACTCCGTAGCTGAGACCACTGAGGCGATTTCCAGGGAAGGTTCGCTGGGCACTTGTGTGGGCAGGAGAGGGCCCAGGAGGGAAGGGAAGCGGCCAACAGTTAGCATCCAGGCCTGGACCAGGCCAGTGTTGTCCAGGCCTGCAGAGAGGCCCCTGGCTTCCTTCCTTTTCCCGTGTTGCTGTCTCACCGATGGCCCTGGGGTTGAATGGAGGCCCTGTCAGCAAGAGAGATAAGAGGGTGAAATGACACCAAGGCTGTGAGTGTGACCGTCTCTGACAGTCAAGCAGGGGTGAAGACCTCTGAGCCTGGTGGGTGCCCCTCATACTTAGAGCAGGATCGAGCTTGCTTTCTTTTTCTTCTTCAGCTGCTTAATTAGGCAGCTTTTTATAAACATAAAATATCATTTTCCATACTTACTAAATAACATGAAGAGCAGGAAAGAAACCTTATTATTGGTGACTTTTGATCAGCTATTATGTCGTTGGAAAAGTCATGACATTTTTGCATAGAAAAATTCATCTTGACTTTCCCAGCGACCTAATCGAAGTCTTGGTCATGAAGTAAGCACTCACATGGAGGAAGACGGCACAGCCCACCACTCCCTAACTGTCTATTAAAGGGATGATGGGACGGGCCTAGCCATGTGCCTTTGGCTCTGGAGTCTGGACCTAACTGGTCACAGGCACCAGGTACCGTTGGCACAGAAGTATTTGGGGATCTCATGGTTAAGTGTGTGAATGGTTGGTATGGAGCATGCAGGATGAGTCACTAAAGGCCCAGCTGCAGGAGAAGCCTGCTTAGGATGAGGCCTGCAGGAGGAGGAGTTGGGGATTCGGGCTGGTGATGTCCACAGTAGTCTCTGGTAGGATCCTACCAGATAGGGAGCATGCCAGACACTGAGAGTGTGTAACGGGGTTGAGGCAGGCAGGACGCTGGAGCACAAGGTGCCATGTGGAAGGATGACCCGATTTCTCATATGCTCTAGGCCTCGTGGTAGTGAACCTCAGCATTCCATGCAGAAATCCACCTGCAGCTTCCTGGGCTCCACTGCAAGGCCCATTTGGGGCTCTGACAGGGACAGATGACACACAGGGATCTTACTCTGAAGTGAAGCGTGTCTCAGCGCTCCTTGGTAGACAGCACCAGAGTAGGTTTCCCTGGAGGAGAAATGTGCTGTTGCGGCTGGAGAACTGACTTAGAGACAAAATGAAAGAGGTTTTGCCAGATTCGGGAATATGCGTGGCTTGGGCGAGTCCTGTTGCTTTCCTCTCTGCAGGAGGTGTATAGCCTTGGGTGGGTTTAGGAGAACAATGGGAAGATCTGGGGTGAGAGAGACTCTGACCAGGGTGAGATTCCATCACAGGGAGGGGAAGGAGAAGAGAATGTCAGGCCACTGACAGCCCGATGGCCAAGGCCACCGGCTCTTCTGCACAAGATGTGGAATCGTGTCGTTTTAGAGCTAACCGGATCATCAGACCATATCAACTCCAGTCCTGATTTTTTTCATCATCTCTTGATGCTAATTTGCACACGATAGATACTGAATAAATATGTGATGAATACTAGGTCACCATGAGATAGTTGTAGAAAATAATGACTGGGGGCCAGCGAGTGGCATGGTGGTTAGGGCACTGGATTCCACGTGGCTAATCCTGGGGTAGCATGGTGGTTAGGGCACTGGACTCCCACAGGGCTAACCATGGTTCGAATCCTGCACCTGCCCTCTTGCTTTCTCCTCCTACCCCACCGTGAGTACATGTGCTCTCTAGCAAATTAAAATAATAATAATAATAATATTAAATAAAACTTTTAAAAAATAAGAGAGGCCAATGGCCTATGTGGAGAAGGCTGTGCCCCACCCCCATCCATCCAGGAAATATGCCCTCCTGCGGTCATGGGAATAATTCACTACTGCCTCAGAAGGAAGCTCACATTTAGATAAGAGGGAGAAGCAGACTGCACTTGGGCAGTTTAAATACCAAGAAGGGAGTTTGATAGCCTCAGTAGAGTGAAGTTCAGGAAATGCATAGGAAAGAACTCCTTGGACTATTTTTTTTTCCTCGTAATTGCCAGAGGGCATGGATGCTAGCCAGAGAGAGAGAGAGAGAGAGAGGAGAGAGTAAGAGAAAGCACATCGCCCCCCCAGAGAGTAAGGTCATTTTTTCTTCTATTTCTCCATCCTGTCAGGATTTGGGGCGCTCACGCATACATGCCCAGCATGTTTTACAAGCTAGAGGGGTTGGGATTCAAACCACAGCTGGCCTTGCAGGATCCAGCTCCCTATTCAGTGCTTGACCCTTGAGCCACCGGGTCAGCCCAACTCCTCGAGCTTTCAAGGACGCTTCAGATGCTTCCCCTGTGAGGCAGACACGTGCATCCATGAGTCTCTCCTCAGACTGCGTCACAGGTGTGCGATCCCTCTCGTGACAAGGACGGACTGCTCCTCATTAGGACAGATTCGGAGTACTGTGTTCTACCGTGGAGTAATGAAATTTCTTGTTGGGATGAAATTTTGGGGGGTAATTACCCCTCTTTATCTTTGACTTTACAAAGGCGAGGGTTCACGTTGTGGACCCCTCGGTGGTAGCATCTGTTGCCTAAGTTCAGTGTCGAGTGCTGTCACTGCTTGGAAAAGTTTCTCATGGAAGGACTTTTCTTCTTGTAGGGCACCATGAAACCCCGCTCTCTGCATCTACCAAGATGTTGGAGAGATTTCCTAACAATCTGCCCAAACACCGGGAAAACGTGATTCATGCTAGAAAAAGAGCTTTGAGGAGGTGAGTGGGGGAGCGGAGAGCTGGTGGCTCTTCAGGACAGGTGCTGGGACAAGGCCTCAACTTTGCCTTTGGAGCTCGATCTACGAGGGAGAGAAGAGTCCATGGTGACAGTACAGGGTATGCGAGGACAGCTGACAGACGTGGAGACCACCTCACAACAGATGCAGGGCAGAGGTGGAGATTTTATCCAGGCGCAAAGGAAAGTCATGGGCTTTGAGGATTCCGGGGTACAGTGTCTGCCCTCCATCATCTAGGGAGCCAGGTCGGAGAAATGGCCATCTGGAGTAGCCGTGCCCTGAAATCCTGTGATAGCATATTCACCGCTGAACACTTAGAAAAATATAAAGAAGCAAATAAGACAGTGCCCTCGTGGTAGCCACCGTCCAGATTTGTTATTTCACCATCAAATCTCAAACAAAGAGTGTTTTTAAAATCTGTTGCTGTACCTGAGGAGCAGCAGTGTGGCAACGAGACAGACCGTTCCAGCAAACCTGCTTGTGCAGAGTCCAAATGCGCGCCCCTGGTCACGGGCTCAGCATACCTTCCTCAGCTGCCCACTGCGTACCTGAGACTCCATGCACCCCTTTATACTGTGGGAGCATTGATGGGGGCGTGGACAAAGGGGGTGTACCTGGAAGCGGGGAGAGGGCGTGGTAGCAGGTGTCTGGGGGTGGGAGTGACGTGAGTGAGTGGGAATGCAGTGCATGACCAGGGGCTGTGTGTTTACCCTGATAGTAACAACACACACGTGAAACGGTAGGTGTTTACCCTGATAGTAACATAACACACATGAAACGGTAGGTGTTTACCCTGATAGTAACATAACACACGTGAAACGGTAGGTGTTTGAGAGCCAATCAGTACAGTTTTCTGAACTGCTCCATGAAGTTATAAAAGTTTTTAGGCACTTGGAAGGGAGCTCTGCATTTATCTGATTTAATTTGGGGCTTCTAAATAATTTTTTTAAGGGAGAATGGCCATGCCACAATCCCTTCTCCTCCATTCTCCTCTTGGGATCTTGGGCACATACACACGCGCACCCGGTGTGAGTTTAATCTACCGGGCCCAGGACTTGAACTGCAGTCAACTACATAGGAGACCAGTGACATAGCCATTACGCCAACTGCTGGTTCCTAACAGACTTTCTAAAGAAGTTTGGGAAAATCCTGGACTGCCTGATTAAGTGATTTTGAGATTGCACTGGAGAGTTACAGCGACATAAGAAAGCTGCTTCACTCCTTTATAGCTGGTGCCTGTGCACCTGTGGCTTTCCTTTTTCATGTAAAATGGTATTGTCAAACTGACTACCATCTTCTCACCAGACTTTGTTACATATGATTTCAGAGTTTGCCCAAATACCGAATCTACCATCAAAGGAGGAAGCTTTTGCCTCCATTAAGGATTTTTAAAAAAACATAGGGGTCTGAGGGCGCTTCCAAGAGCACTGCTCTGAAACCTGTGTCAGTAATGACAGCCTCCCCGCAGTAATTGCAGCCTCTCAAGGCAGTTGCTTTGAGGGACCGGCAGCTACGTGAGCTTGGTGAGCTGAAAAACAAGAGTGGCACCTCACAGAGTAGTCGTACCTCACAAGTCGCTCCCCTTTGTGGGTCACCAATGTGCCTGGCCAGGATGTTTGCAGTGACATAGCACTCTCCCCCACACCAGGTCATCAACCTGGTTGACCAGGCTGCGAAAAATGCACCCACCACCGTGTCGCAGGATGTGGAAGAGAAGTTTGCTCGTGCCCCAGCCAAGCCCGAGGCCCCCATGGACTCCATGCTCAAGGACATGGCCACCATCATCCTGAGCAACAGCTGGGTGGCCTTCATCATCACCTACCCCTTGGTAAGACTTGGCTCCTCCTCTTCGGCCCTCCTGCGTATTTCAGAGCTTCTTCACCATCCTCATGCCAGTGGGATCTAGACAGAAGCAGCTAATATGTTTCTTTTCCTATTTAGAAGTCAATATTTGCTTTTCTTCAAAAATGCAATGTTTGATACAAGCTTCTTAAGAAAGGAAAGTTTTTTTTTATTTAACTTTTTTTTTTCCCTCCCATGAGCAAGAGAGATCGAAAGAAAGACACATCCACAACAGGATCTTGACACTGTGGTCTAGCCCTGGATTGGGCACACATGAGCTCACCTCATTCAGGGAGGCCTCTGGACACAAACCCCGTGAGGATCTGCCCTATAGAGCATCAAGTTTTGCTGCTGTGCCACCATCCAGCCCCTAGGAAAGGACAATTTTTGTACCTAAATCTCAAGTGTTTTTCAAGTAGTAATAAAAGCTGATTTATAAACTTTGCTTGCATATTATTTAAACAGTTAACTATTTTGCTTTGTCTTTTTTAGAGAGATTTTTGCTGTAGGGCATGTGCGTTTGCCAGAGAGACAAGTGAGAAATCACCCACCCACCCAGCCCCCGCCAGAGGGCATGGTCACGTCACAGTTCCTTCTCTTCATTCTCCTCTTGAGATTTTGGGCACACACACACACATGCACCCAGTGTAAATTTTAAGCCACCAGGTCCAGGACTCAAACTGCAGTCAACTACATGGGAGTCCAGTGACATAACCTTTATGCCATTTGCTAGTTCCTCTGTTTTTCTTTTTCTTTTTCTTTTTCTTTTTCTTTTTTTTGGAGAGGTTTTTGTTATAGGGCGCATGCGCTCGCCAGACAGATAGAGAAGGAGAGACAGAAAGCGAGAAATCACCCTCCAGGGGGGATGGCCACGCCACAATCCCTTCTCCTCCATTTTCCTCCTGGGATCTTGGGCACGCACACGCACGCGCCCGGTGTGAGTTTTAAGCCACCGGGTCCGGGACTCGAACCGCGGTCGACTACGTGGGAGCAGCAACATAGCCATTACGCTAACTGCTGGTCCCCTCTGTTTTCGTTTTTAAGGACAGGGATAGTGAATAAAAATCTTTCTTCCCTTTAACAACTGCATGTTAGATCAGCTGGCGTGAAAAATGTGACATGGCGAGTCCTTTGACTTCCTGGCTGGAAATCAGTGAGCTAAAATGATAGATTCGAGTAGGTCGTGGGTGGGATAAAATATTCCGGGTGCACACTCCTTCAGCAAGTTGCACAGAGTGTTGAAATGTCACCGTCTTTGAATGCAAGTCACAAGTGCTCGACTCAGGACACTCCTGTCCCATATAGTAATGGGAGTGGCACCCTCTACTGGCTTCCCATGGAGAATGTGGGTTCCGATTGCTTTATTTTTACCTCACACATTCTCTCCTGTGAGGTTATGGTTATTGGCCCCCTTCCCCCGAACAGAAAACTAGGCTCTGAGAAGCGAAGTAGCTTTGCCAGGATACTCAGCTAAGGGGTCATCTCCAGGACTTCAGCCCAACGTGAAGAGAAAGGGCTAGAAAACTCCCCTGTGGCTGTTGGCTACTCCCCAGCCCTTGCAGTCAGACTTCATGTGTGGGCAATGGCAGCCCTGATTGCTGTCACTTCAGATGATGGTGTGAACCTCTCAGCTGTTTGAGAGGGCTGTGGGTGCAGGGGAGGCTGTAGGATACAGTGGACGGACGAGTGGGACCTGGGCCACAGCCTGGTTGTGTGGCTGGGGGGAGGGCTGCAAGTTCTAAGCCACAGCTTCCTCACCTGCCCCTCTGGACTGCTGACCTCTCTCAAGTGTGTACACACAACAGCCAGCAAGCCTGGGCTCGCCTTGTGCCCACCACACTCAACCATTTGCTACTGTTCTTCCTGCTGGTTTTTTATCTTTGTAGCAACTCCTAGACTCTCATAAGTCACAGGATTTTAGCATTGAAAGGAGCCCCCATCTATCTGACCTAACCCTCCACGCAAAACAGAATCCCTCCTCTTAGGCCCCTGCCTGATGACCACTTAGCCCCTGCCAGGCCCCCCACGGAAGGCTATCCTGGATAGGGTGATCTGATTCTGCCTCTGTGTGCCTTCTTGCTGGTCCCCATGCCTTGCCGGGTCATGTGGACACCTGCTTCCTCTGCTGGGAGCCTCTCTGTCCAGGCTGCGCGTTTCCCAGTGGGAATGGCCCTGCTTACTCAGATGCGATTCTCTCCTCAGAGCATGCATCAGCAGCAGCAGCTCCAGCACCAGCAGTTCCAGAAGGAACTAGAGAAAATTCAGCTCCTGCAACAGCAGCAGCTGCCCTTCCACCCGTCTGGAGACACGACCCAGGATGCTGAGCTCCTGGACACATCCGGCCCCTACTCGGAGAGCTCGGGCACCAGCAGCCCCAGCACGTCTCCCAGGGCCTCCAACCACTCTGGGCACTCGGGCAGCTCCATCTCCAAGGCTGGCACCAGCCCCTTCCTAGAGCAGGATGACGAGGGTAAGGCCAGGCGCCGGTTGGGGACTGCCTTATCTGTCACTGGAACACCATCTGAGCACTGTACAGCACTGTATCTTTCCCTGTGTCCCCAAGGGATTATAAAGTGCTGTTCCCAAGGCTCACTGTGTTCTTGCCTCTTACCTCCCACGGTAGTCTCCACAGAGTGGGCTTCTGCCTCACTCCATGACGTCTCCCCACAGAGGCCCTCCAGGACTATCCTGGCAATCCCTCTGTCTTTCTTCACAAAGGCTGGGAGATGCTGCCCAGCAGGGAGCTGCCCACCAGGCTGGGGGCATTCCCGACAGGGAGGAGCAGCTGCAGTCCACTCTGCTCTCTGGGCTGGCTCAGGCTGGATGGCAGGGCAGCTGTTCAAGGGGACCGACAGCTAGAGTGCGACTGGGACAGGACACGTCCCTGCTGGCTTCATTCACACATCCTCCGTCCTCCCCTACCTGCTGTCTCAGGTGCTGCTCTTCAAGGTGGACCCCCTTTTTCCTTTATTAACCATGAGTTGGTTGGAACTCAGTATAAATAAATATACACATACAAACATGTAGAGGTTCCTTCTCTTCGGAAGGCTTTTCAATATGCATGCTCACCATAGTGTAAAGTAGGAAGAGAATGCAGGAGCAGGGGAGGTGGCCCTGCATGTAAGTGGGGTGTGGGCCTGGCCTGCCCCTGACTGCCAGGATCTGGGGTGCAGAGCCTCTTAAACGCCATCTCTTAATCCGAGCTCAGGAAGCTAGTAGCTGTGTTAGCCTCCAGGCTCCGTCAGGGACATTGTTTAACACGGCCTTTCCCCATTGTGCCCCAGATGAGGAAACCAGCATGGTGATGGTCGGGAAGATTTCGTTCTGTCCCAAGGATGTCCTGGGTCATGGCGCTGAGGGCACGATTGTGTACCGGTGAGTGGAGTGGCCAGGCACCTGTCGTGTTGGGTTGCAGTCTGAGTGCCAAGTCCCAGGGACCCATTAAGGTCAAGATGGGGACCAAGGCAAGGAGCACACGTGCTGCCAGAGAAGTGACGATCACGGGGCCATCTGGTGGGCGGTCGGCGCTCTCTGGTGGAGGCTAGCAAGGGGCTGCAGTGTTCCAGGAGAAAGGCTCCTTGGTCTCCCCTCATCCCCAGATTTGCTCTTACGAAACAGCCCCCATTCCTTGTCCCATAGGGGCATGTTTGACAACCGCGACGTGGCCGTGAAGAGGATCCTCCCTGAGTGTTTTAGCTTTGCAGACCGGGAAGTCCAGCTGCTGCGAGAATCTGACGAGCACCCAAACGTGATCCGTTACTTCTGCACAGAGAGGGACCGGCAGTTCCAGTACATCGCCATCGAGCTGTGCGCAGCCACACTGCAGGAGGTGGGCTGGCCGGCCTCCTGGGCGCCTGCGGCCCCTGCAGCCTCCCTCGCCCTGCCAGCAGGAGTGTGGTGTCAAGGACTGTCAGTTTATGTCTTTCCATTTTGTTTGGTTAACTTTAGTGAAGTTACAGTGCAGTGAGTTGTACTGATTTTTTAAAAAGAATTATTTATTTAATTTTATTTAGTCATTCATTTATTTTAATTTGACCAGAGAGAGAGAGACAGAGGGAGAGAGAGGGAAAGTGAGAAAGCAAGCCACCAGGTCTGGGGCTTGAACTCGTCGGCCATGTAGGAGTGTCCAGCACCTTAACCATCACACCACTTGCTGGTCCCTGAGTTGTACTGATTTTAAGTGTGCAGTTTGATATATCTTGATAAGTGTGCCACAGATACAATCAAATTGTAGGGCATTTGTGTCAGCCCAGGCCTGATGGGGTGAGCCCCTCAGCACACCCGGGCAGTCTCTGGCTGCTGTGGGCATGTCTCTCCCTCTTCGCCTCCAGGAAACCTGGTCAGTTGCTTTTCCATCTCCAGCATCGCCGATGTGGCTGGGAGGATGCTGGTTGCTGACTCCAGGCTTTAAAATCGTCCAGCACATTCTTTTAGCTCACTTTAGTCATGAAATTGACTCTCAGTATCGTTTGCATTCCCCTGTAGGCTTGCCTATTAGAGGCAGTGAACTTGAGCTTCTTACCTTCTTCCCTTTCTCATGGTTAGTTAGTAACTTAGAGCTCTGCTTCTTTGTTTAAGTCAACCTATGGCTTCAGGAGGGCTGTTGGAATGTGTAGATTTGGGCAGAGAATGTTGTCAGTAGAAGTTACCTTTTGAAAAAACAAAAACATTTATTATTCACTTATCTATTTATTTGTTGTGGTTTTCAACCCACTGGGTCTGGGACTCAAACCACAGTCGGCCATATGGGAATCCAATGCCTCAACCACTACACCACCTGCTGCCCCCCTCCCTTTCTTTATTAAAATAAGGTCAGAGAACATGAGCTGAGGGCCCAAGTGCTGAGGGCTGTTGTCATGACCCTGCCCCGTGTCTCTTGCAGTATGTGGAGCAGAAGGACTTTGCCCACCTCGGCCTGGAGCCCATCGCCTTGCTGCAGCAGACCACCTCAGGCCTGGCCCACCTCCACTCCCTCAACATCGGTGAGGGGCTGCCCTTTAGTCCCCATGGGCTGGGTTATGGCAGCTGACTAGCTTGGGAGGGCCTTGCCTCTGTGTAAGCTCTTGTTCCATCACTGATATGGGGGGTGTGGGGCATGTTTAGGGGGTCTTGTGACTAAGTGTATAAGGATTTGAGGTGAAATATTACATAGTTGAAAATCAGAACCTTCAATGGTGGCAGCAGGTATGTCGCGAGTCTGGCAAGGATGCCTGGGGTTGCACACAGTGAGTAGTGGCCTAATCTGGAGTTCTCCATCAGTTCACAGAGACTTGAAGCCCCACAACATCCTCCTCTCCATGCCCAATGCGCACGGCAGGATCAAGGCCATGATCTCCGACTTTGGCCTCTGCAAGAAGCTGGCAGTGGGCAGGCACAGCTTCAGCCGCCGTTCTGGAGTGCCCGGCACAGAGGGCTGGATTGCTCCGGAGATGCTGAGCGAAGACTGCAAGGAGAACCCCGTGAGTAGCGTGCACAGCCCTTGCCAGCCTCAGAACCAGCCAGTCGCGTCTTTGGGAGTCAGAGCCTGCACTGACTGGAGTTCAGTAGCTGGAGGGTGACATTCTTTTAACAAAGGACTTCTCTGTCACTTTCCGTGGTGTCTCCCGTTCAGATGAGTGAAAGGGACAAATGTGGACAGTTGCCTTTCAGTCACTTTTTAACTTCTTTTAATTTGAGGAAAACTGGGAAATCAGGACTGACATAAACTGAGCAAACCTCCAGTAAAAGTGTGTTTGTTTTTGCTTCGCCAACATTTTGAGAATTTTTAGACATTCAGAAAATTGCAAGAATGCTACCATGAATACCTGAGTACCTCTGCCTAGATGTAGCACTTACTGACGCTTCCTCCACATTTGCTCTATCGCTCTCTTTACCGATTGCTGAGCCATTCGAACAGAAGCAGCTGGTGACTCCTTTCACCCCTAAATGCTTCAGCACGCGTCTCCTGAGAGCGAGTGCCTGCCGCTCCCTAACCACCGGACCGGCACCACACCTAGCATCAACTCTGTGCCTATCATATCACCTCCACGTCCACGTTTCCCCTGTTGTCCCCCAAGGGTCCTGTGTAGAGCTGGTTTGTATGCCCAGGCCCAGTCCAGCATCTTGCGTTGCGGCGCCAGCCGTCTCTCACCCATTTGCTCTGTGATCTCGGTATCTTGAAGAGTCCAGGCAACTGTTTGTAGAACACCCCAGTCTGGATTTGTTTAGCATGGCAGCGTTTAGCGTTTCTCTCTGTTCCTTGTATTTCCTGTAAACTAGAAGTTAGGTCTAGAGGCTTGATTGGATTCCGGTTAATGTTTTTGGCAAGAATAGCCCGTGGGTCACTTTATCAGGAGGCACCTGATGGCCACTCGGATCATTATTATTGTGGCACCGTTACTATATTCTATGAATAATACTAACCTGGGTCAGCGTCTCAGCTGATCTCACCCTGTAAGGCTCCATTTTTCCCTTTGTTGTTAGCAAGCGATGTGTGGGGCGTTACTTTGGCACAATGCGACTATCCTGTTTACCGGGAGTCCCTCACCAGTGGTTTAGCATCTGTCAGCCATCCTCACCTGAAGCTACTGATTCAGTAGAAATTCTTCTGCACTTATTAGCTGACTTCTTTTGTAAACAAGAGCTTTATTTTAACTCCTTTATATTTTTGTGTTTGCCTGAATCAGTAGGGACTCAAAGATGTTTTTTTTTTTTTAGTGTTCTTTTTTTTTTAAGAGGTTTTTGCTATAGGGCGCGTGCGCTCACCAGACAGACAGAGAGAGACAAAGAGAGACAGAAAGCTAGAAGTCACCCCCGCAGGGGGATGGCCACGCCGCAATCCCTTCTCCTCCATCCTCCTCTCTGGATCTTGGGCATGCACGAACACGCGCCTGGCATGAGTTTTAAGCCACCGGGTCTGGGACGCGAACCGTGGTCGACTACATGGGAGTCCAGCAACATAGCCATTACGCCAGCTGCTGGTCCCAGGACTCAAAGATTTTTAAATGGTGATATTTTAATTTTTAATTGCAGTCCTTATTCTTTTTTTTTTTTTCCTTTTTGTCCTTACTCTTGGTTTTCAAATTGTTTCAATTTGGTTTTCAAATTGCCAAATGCAATCTCTGTTTTTCTCCTTTCAGCTTGCCAAAGGGCTCATGCACTCGCCGGAGAGAGAGACAGAGAGAGGGAAAGTGAGAGAGCACCCTCCATGGGGAATGGCACCTTTGGGATCTCAGGGATGCACACACATGCACTCAAGCCCCTGGGTTTAGGACTTGAACTCTGTAGTCAGCCGTGTAAGATCTTGCTGCCTTAACCAACATGCCACTGACTGCCCCACCCCCTTTTTTACTAGAAGACTTGTGTCCTCACCAGAGAAAGAGAAGGAGAGGAGAGAGCACCCTCAACCCCATGCAGTCCCTCCTCCTCCATGTCTCCCTCCTTTCGGTATTTTTGGCACACACACATCATGCCTGGCCTGTTTCTTAAGCCCTGAGTCCAGGACACAAACTGCATGGTTGACCACGTAGCATCCAGCTGCCTTAACTACTAAGGCATGGAGCCAGCCCAAATTTTGGCCATCTGAAAGCAGGCACGTTGTAGGCCCTGGGGTCCCCAGGGAAATGAGTAGACAGAGATCCCTGCCTACAGGGACTTGGGCAGGTAGAGAGTCTTTGACAGTGAAGAGAACTTCTGTGGGCCAGGGGCTGTTCCGAGTAGCCATCTTCACGTCATAACACATGTGCCCTTCACAACCCCCTGAGGGGCTGTCTTCACATGACACGGGAATAAACCGTGGCACGGAGAGCTGGCCTCCCGGCAGGTGGCTATCATACCATGCCCTCCACTGTGACGACCAGCACCCAGGCAGTGGTGCTGCAGGCCACCCGCGCTGCTCTGGGCAGATCACACATGTCGGCCTGCTCTCCCAAGGAAACTTCCAGGCGGCAAGAGCAGCAACAATGCGGCCAGCACAGCTGCTGAGAATGGGAGACCTCTCACACCCGTGTCTTTCAGACCTACACAGTGGACATCTTCTCTGCGGGCTGCGTCTTTTACTACGTGATCTCCGAAGGTAGCCACCCTTTTGGCAAGTCCCTGCAGCGACAGGCCAACATCCTCCTGGGTGCCTACAGCCTTGACCGCTTCCACCCAGAGAAGCACGGTGAGCAGATGGGTCAGGAGCAGCCCCCACGGGTGCGTCTGGTGCTGCCTCTGTATTCCCAGAGCCCTGGTCCCTGCACTGGCCCGGGGTGTCTTGGGTAGAGTGCTGGATAGGGTTGTCCTTGGGGTGCTGCTGTCTACAGCCAAGGAGTTCCTAGGTTCTTCCAGATGGCTCCCAGGTTCCTACTTATGTGGCCTGGGCAAGGCTCCCTTTGGAGACCTCTTGTTTTGGAGTGTGGGGCATGAGAGTTAAATGACCTTGTTTTCCCTTCTGCGCTGGCATTTGGAAAGACAACGTGCCCATAAATTGGACTGTCCCCTGAGGGCCTATGGTCAACAGTCCAGTCTGTGCGGGACTAGGGATGGGCAGGCCCTGTCCTTGCTCTCCTCGTGGGCAGCAGTCCAGTCTGTGCGGGACTAGGGATGGGCAGGCCCTGTCCTCGCTCTCCTCGTGGGCAGCAGTCCAGTCTGTGCGAGACTAGGGATGGGCAGACCCTGTCCTTGCTCTCCTCATGGCAGCACATCTGTCTTCCTGACTTTGGGGTCTCCTGGGTTATGTCATGGTTAGGCCCATGACAGACACCCAAGGCTACCTTTAAAAAAAATTAAAACTAAATTATTATTTTGCATCCAAGTTAATTTTCTTACTCACTGGGGAAAAAAATAAAATTAGCAAAAAGGCCCATAATTCTATTATCTGGCCATGAATGACTATTATTAATACCTTTGTGTAGGCTATTCCGACCATTTGCCCAAATGCACATTTTCAATGGAGTTAAGTCATGCATACAACGGTGCAGCATGCTGCCTTTCAGGTCCGTCTTCAGTATTTCTCTGTGTCAGTCCATATTCAGCCACAGCATCCTTTTATGGCTGTAGTCCAGTGCGTGAAGACAAAGTAGTGAAGCCCCAAGCCTCGGAGACCAGGTGTTTCCAATCACCTTTTTTTTTTTTTTTTAATAATAACTTTATTATTATCTTACTGAACTTTTTTATTTATTTATTTACTTTACTTTGACCGGAGAGAGAGAGAAACGGGGGGGAGTGAAAAAGCAAGCCGCCAGGTCCAGGACTTGAACCACAGTCAGCCACATGGGAGTCCAGCACCCTTAACCACCACACCACCTGCCGGCCCCTCCAATCACTTTTTCCCACAGACTGTGCACTCCTTATTAGCTGACATTTGGTGTGCTTTCTTAGTAATGTTGCTGGAATAAATTCTTGTAAGTAGAATCCTGACTCAAAGGTTGTTAAGGCGTCTGGTATTGTGCGTGGCTAATAACAAGTTGCTTGGTTCTTTTTCTCCGTTATAGAAGACGTCATTGCCCAGGAATTAATAGAGAAGATGATCGCAATGGATCCCCAGAAACGGCCCTCAGCAACACACGTGCTGAAACATCCATTCTTCTGGAGCCTAGAAAAGCAGCTCCAATTCTTTCAGGTAAAAATGTCGGTTTTCTTTATCAGAAATCTTGATTTAATATTTTGCAGATTCTGAAACTATAGAAAAGCACAAAAAATCAAACACATGGCCCATAAGCCTATAACTATGATATAGTTATTTTTATAACTAAGAAATAACTATGACTAATATTTTAATGTATTTTCTTCCTGTCTTATAAAAATACAATTGAGATCAAACCATATGTGCAGTTTGGTATTTTTTTTTTTAATAGAGATTTTTGCCTTAGGGTGCATAAGCTCACTGGAGAAAGAGAGATGAGTGAGAAATCACCTCCCAGGGGGGATGATCACACCACAATCCCTTCTCCATTTTCCTCCTGGGACCTTGGGCATGCACGCACACACATGCGCCCAATATGAGTTTTAAGTCACCAAGTCCGGGACTCAAACTGCGGTTGGCCATGTGGGAGTCCAGCAACGTAACTAGTACACCCTCTGCTCATCCCAAGTATCCTTCTTTCTTTTTTTAACTGTACACAACCTTTTAAGTATTTGTCATGTTAAAAGTTTAATAGCTATATTATTGTATCATACGGATGGGCCAGGAACTGGCAGGTGGTGTGGTGGTTAAGGCGCTAGACTCCTACATGACCAACTACGGTTTGAGTCCCAGACGCAGTGGCTTGAAAAATCACACGGGGCACGTGTGTGTCTTTGCCCCAAATCCTGAGAGGAGAATGGAGAGGAAGGGATTGTGGCGAGACCATCTCCCCTGGGGGGACGATTTCTCACTTTCCATCTCTTGGCTTTCTCTGGCTCTTTCTAGAAAGCATACATGCTCTGTGGCAAAACCCTAAAACAAAAGATAGATAGATAGGAACATACATACATATAAACATACGTACATACATACATACATACATACATACATATATACATACGTATCATTTTAAAATTTATGTTATGGAATTCCAAATAAATATAAAAGTAGAACAAATACTGTAACTGGACCCCTTTGCCCATCCCAGCTCTGACAAGTACAGGAGCCATCCCATCTCCCCAGCCCAGATTATTTTGAAGCAAACCTCAGGCATCATGTAATTTCATTCAGGTGTTATAAATTTAGGCATTTCTTGACACTGGATTTTTTTTCTGTCACCTTTTACTCAGTCTTTGCCCAGATCTCATTTTGCTTAAAATATATTCTGCAAAGTTGAATTATAGCATCAATGACTGTGAGCCGCTCCAGCTGTTGGACAGCCCTACACCTTTGGGCATTGCCAGGTGGCTTTGTGGACAGGCAGTACATTTCTGAGGTCTTCCATGGTGCAAGCTCAGCATGATCGCCCGAGCTCCTCCGCCCAGCACCCGGGCTGGCTCTCAGGGCAGTGCTCTTCCTCCTGGGTCTGGGCAGAGCCTCCAGGGCCCATGTTCTTGTGCCACCAAGCTTCCTCTTCGAAAAGGAGACTTTACTTCCTGTCTTTTTTTTTTTTTTTACTTTTTCTTTATTTGTGATAGAGAAGATATATGTGCACGAGTGAGAGAGAGAAAAAGTGAGCAAGAGGGTCACTGTCCATAGGGGTTACACTGTGACCCCGTCTCCCTGTTTCAATGGGTAGACAGAAAACGAGACGCAAAGCAGCACAGAGCCTGTGGTGTTCACTGGTGATACAGACGGCGCATTCCGCTCTGCGTGGGTGCGGCACGTGTGTGAGTGCGGCTCAGGCGAGGCCGTGTGGTCTGCACAGGGCAGGGGAGCAGAGTGCTGGTGGCTCGGCTCTGAAGCCGGCTTCAGCCTGGGCTGACGGGGGCTCAGTCACGTTTGACTCTGAAGGCAGTGGCCACCCTGGCCCTGAGTGTGCCCGTCCTCTGGCTCTTAGCCTCTCTAAGCACTGCCCGTCTGTGTCCCATCTGTCCCGCAGGACGTGAGCGACCGCATAGAAAAGGAGTCCCTGGATGGCCCGATAGTGAAGCAGCTGGAGAGAGGTGGGAGAGCTGTGGTGAAGATGGACTGGAGGGAGAACATCACCGTCCCCCTGCAGACAGGTGACCATGGTGGCCTAAGAGCTGCCACTAGGGAGGGAACACAGGAATGGCCGTGCCAAGCTGTTTGGACTCCAGCGCTCTTCTTGGCTTTGGGGTTTTCTCAGGTGTATCTTCTGGTTTGGTGGCATGGGGTGTGTTTTGCACTTGCTCCTCACGGCGACAGGCCTGGAGCAGCGTCCTACATTAGGTCATTTCTGTTTGGGCCCAATTGTGGGGTGCATCAGACTGACACCACCCTCGGGTTCGCGGGGGCTCTGCTCCCTGACTCCTGAGTGTGGAGTTATGTCGCTTTGCAGTCCAACTGCTCAGTCTCCAAAACCCCAGCAGTTGTTTTCTTTAACTGTGTTACTCGCTTAACATCACCTCTTGATGTTCTAGATCTGCGGAAGTTCAGAACCTACAAGGGTGGCTCCGTCCGAGACCTCCTCCGAGCCATGAGGAATAAGGTAAAGGGTTTGAGAACATGAGGGAGGGGGACCCAGGGCTGCAGCACAGACCTCCTATCTTCCTTCTTTTTTCTTTTTTTTAAGTTCATTTATTTCATGAAAGAAAGAGGTCCCCGAGGCAGGGTCTCACCATGCAGCAGTCCCCACCGCCACCAGCCAGGGTCACAGGTTCGCCCAGCGTGTTCAGATTGACCCAGAAACTGTACCCGAGGCCTCCCACGTGGCTCTGGCATGGCACAGTCTTGCCCTACGGCCAGCACTACCACAGCAGTGCTCTTCCTCCTTTGGGCCATTGCCTGTTCCGCTTCTTGGTGGCTAGGCAGCCATAGCCAGACTGGGGAATCACAGGCTGTCCTTCCTGGTATGTGGGCTTTCTCTTCAGGACTGTGAGGGGCAGAGTCAAGTTCTGGGAAGGAGCCTCTCTGAGGCCTGGTCCTTTGTGGTCCCTGCTGACCTCTGGTGCCCTCAGCCTGCCTGACACAGCCACAGTATACACATGTCTCCTCTGGGGACTGTCCCCTGGGTCTCTGGAGCTCAGGGAAGAGCACCACTTTTCTTCTAGGGGGGAGGGGGTGCCCTTAGCCTGGTCTGTTTCCGAGTAGCCTCCAAACAGGGCCCACCCCCAGGCAAAGAGGCCTCCAAGCTATGGACACCAACACCTGTGTTCCTCCTGCCACTGCCAGGCGGCTCGCTAGGCCCCGAGCATCGCAGAAGGACTGCCCTCCCCTGCCAGACCACCGCTCCACTGCGATGGCCTCCTGCCCCACCCAGCTGGACCTTGCTTGCTCCAAGGCCCCTCCTGGACGAGGGGGAGCAGGCAGAGTGGCCGGCCCAGCTGGTTCTGTGCACAAGCCTTCTTTCCTTTTCCCTGCAGAGAGCCAGCCGCCACTAGCCCTCTCTCCCAGCAGCTAACCCCCATGTCTGTGTCTGCCTGTTTGCAGAAGCATCACTACCGGGAGCTCCCCGCGGACGTGCGGGAGACGCTGGGCTCCCTGCCCGAAGACTTCGTGCGCTACTTCACCTCGCGCTTCCCCCACCTCCTCTCGCACACCTACCGCGCCATGGAGCTGTGTAGCCACGAGAGACTCTTCCAGCCCTACTACTGCCATGAGCCCCCAGAACCCCTGCCCCCAGTGGTGCCGGATGCCCTCTGAGCCGGGCGGCCCCTCCCTTCTGGTGGCTTCAGCTGTGACTGAGGGCCTGGTCTCCACAGTCCAGGGCTTGGCGCTCCCGACCCGCCAGGGAGCCAGGCTTCCCAAACCAAGTGCCTTGAGCTGCCCACTCTGCAGCCGCAGAGGGTAACACTGACCCCAGGGTACAGGAGAGGGGCTCCCCTCCCCCTTCCCAAGCTGAGAAGATGTTGGCTTCGGAAGCTTTACAGTCAGGAGATGTCTGCAAAGGAGGGCCTGGCCCAGCGCAGGAGCATGCTGGACGTGCTGGAGAAACTCGCTTCAGCTTGCTGTTCTCTGAAAAATCCATGCTAATGTCACCTGTGGGCCTCTCAGGAACTGGGGGGTGCCCTCTCTGCTGGGACTGTGAGGCCGAGGTGCTCCACGTGGTGTTTGCTGGAAGAGAGGCTCGAGGGCTGAGGAGGAACAGGACGATCAGAGCGCGCTATCCTGGGGCAGGATTGCCTCACTTCTCGCAGGTGCGCCCTGAACATCCCTGGTCACTGTTACCCCATGTGTCCTCTGAGGCAGCGGGAGCTGTGAGCACAGGGCTGCGGCGTGGGGACTGGTCAGTGCAGCGTGCTGGCCGGTGAGGCCATGTGTGTGGTCCCTCAGAAGTAAAGAGGACGCACCATCCTGGGGGTGGCAGTGGCCCAGTGCACCAGGGCCCTGGACAGTGGGGTGTGGTGGGCTGTGTCCTGTGGTGGGTTGAGGCAAAAGGTGAAGAGTTCTCAGCTGTCGAGCAGGCAGCCAAGACCAGATAGGGACAGACCTCCAGGGCCAGAGGGAGCAGCCACCCTGAGGAACCCTGAGCCAGCGGGAGGCCCCAAAGCTCCCTGGCCCGGAGGCCAGTGCGACAGGAGGCAGGTGGCTAGTCAGCCTGGGGTGGAAGCCCAGGCTGGGGCCTTGCTCACGTGCTTCGAGAGCCAGCTTTTACGATTCCTTGGCACATTTTAATGACCATATTTTGAACATACTGTAGAATGCCAAATTGGTATAGGGAAGCTGAACTTAACTCGAAGCTTACCCCTAAAGAAAGATACATATTCTATTCTGTGTAATACCAAAAATTGCAATCCCCTCAAGAGAAGTGTTCTCTAATGCTGAAGAGTAAGATGTGACAGCAACACCGTGTCGGTGTGTTAAATCGTGTCAAGAGTGATACGCCCTAAAGTGTGTCCATACCATGTGCTTTTTCCCTAAAATTAATACAATTTTTAACTTTAGTTTCCGTCAGAAAGTCCTGTCTTTCCCTCCTGAGAGCCTTATGGAGAGGCTGCATGCAGCCAGGGTCTGTCGGGTACGTGCTGTGTCCCTCCTCCGGCCGTGTCAGGCGGTGCAGCCTGCCCTGGTAAGCTCGGCGAGAGAAGGGCTGTGGCGCTTGCTCGCTGGCAGAGGTCGTGGCTGCTGCTCCCAGGCCAGCGGCTGCTCTCAGGGCTGTGCATCAGCAACTGGTTCTGGCCTTGTGGAATTCCGCCCCCTTCCTTTCCTGACAGTCGTCCTCTGTCTTTAACCCTCATGATTACCTCATTCGACCTTGGGACCTCAGCCCCTTAGTTGGCGTCCCAGCCCCTTCTAAGTCTGTGGTAGGGACATGGCCGGGCTGTTCCTCCTCCTGCCTGGTACAGCTGCAGCCAGGTCTGCCCTTGCATCCTGCCTGGGGCTCCACGGCGACCGCACAGGGCCATTGCGGGTGTGGACTGGCCTTGTGCACCTGCGGAGTTTCTCTGGGGAGTGACTTCTGGCATCTCCCTGTGTTAGCCCAACTTGCGTTTGGACAGTGTGTTTTATTTGGGTATTTACTGGGCTAGATAGGATATGGGGTGCTGGGGACAGTGATGAACAAGACAGGCAACGCCTCTGCCCTCGTGAAGCTTCTAGCGAGAGAGACAAGGGGGAAAAAATCCATGCTGCAGAGAAGGCCCCAGTGGGTGAGGACAGGAGCGCGTTTGGGTTTGCACCTCTTCTGTCTTAAACTGTCCCCATCCCAGGATCCTTCAGATCTGGTCGGGTCACTGCTGTCTGTCTACTCTGCGTGACTGTGAGGAGCCCGTCACTCCTCAGTCTCCAGGCAGTCTGTGCGGAGGTCCGTGCAGGCACGGCTGGAGAACACGGGGCGTGCCCCAGGGTGCCCCTGCTGCTCTCTGGGGTGTTAGCTGCCCTCATGCTCAGTGTGTGGGACCTTGTCTTTCTTCGGGCCAGGACATCCCTGCAGCCTGTGCACCGGCGGTGGCCGAGCACCTGAGCTTTTGTTTGCGTTTTGGGGCTCCCACAGTTCCTGGGAGGCTGCTTAGCTTCTTAGTACCCACCTTCCTCTGTAAGGTGGAACGCAGTCACATCTGTCAGGAGCCCAAAGGACACCAGAGTCTCTTCAGATCTTGTCTTGAACTTGTCTTCAGCACACGTGCCGGAATTTCTCTTGTCGCTTCTGGGGCCTTTGGTTTCGGCTGTTGAGGAGCTGCACGTGTCATACGCATGCAGCATCTGCACCTTGGGGAACGTGGGTATTACTTGCTGAGTGGCTAAACCATCTCGTGGCTAGAGTATAAAACCCCGGGTGCAAAGCTGCCTCCCCGCCTCCTGCTCTCACACAAAAGTCTCAGGTTCTGTCCAGTGGGGTCTCGCTCTGGTCCCTTACAGAGAGACCGTGTCGGAAGACCTGCAGGTTAGTGGATCCTGCCAAGTATTTTCCCCCACCAGCTCTAGAAGGAAGCTCTGTATCGGATCAGCCCTGGCCCCTCGGTAAGGCTCCGTGTGGTACGACTCAGTTATCTCGCTGCAGTAGGAGACTCGCCGGTTGCTGATCTGACTTCTCAGCTAGAGTGCCCTGAAGGGGAGGGCATCCTCCTCTCGGCCAGTTTCCTTTCGGAAGTTTGGTTCCCCATTCTCCATCTGCTCACCGGATCCTCGGCGGTCTCTTCTGTGTTCATTGGTCTGCTCGCTGCACCCTCAGCCTTGCGGTCCTCTCGGAAGTGGGCCTCGCGCAGCCTTCTGGGCCGGAAGGGCCGGAGAAGACCCTCTGAATTCTCCGTTCCACTTTCTCCCTCTGCTCTTTTAGTCTCTGAACTTGGTCCTATGTGTGTATTTCCCAGCATTCCTTCCTCCTCCGTCCCTTCACTACCCGGGGCAGTGGTTAGGTGGCTGTGGCTTGACCTGGGTTTTTCCTGGCAGAAGGGCAGCAGGTGTCCCACACAGGTGAGCCAGCACTCTGCCCTCCGGGATGGACCGTGATCTTTGAAGGCAGGTGTCTACACTCCCCCTGCACTTCGCTTTTCTTGTGCGACAGTGATTCCCAGAGTAACTCTGGCTCTGATCTTTGTGTTGGCGCCTCAGTCCTCTCTGTCCAGTGGGAAACCTCCAGGAACGTATCTGCAGCGAGCCTCCGCGGGAGCAGCCTTAATGACCCTTCAGCCAAAGTCCCCGCCAAAGCCGCTGTGTCTGGTGGATACAGTATTCCTTCTCAGTGTCCCGAAAGCTGTGATGGGGCGCTCCCCACTTACCCAGAAAGCATTACCAGTCGGCCGCCTGGCATTCTCGGACGTGCACCTTGTGTCGTGTTCTTCTTGCAATGACCTATTTATTTAACCTATTTATATTTATTTAATTTTTACTCTGAAGTGTATCCAGTTACAATTGCACTTGCCTAATTAAAGCACATCAGATTTGTTCCGGACAACACCCCTGGCCACTTTTAAACTGGAAAAGGAAAAGTTATACTGTATCCTTTCATGGGATGGATGCCTTACAGAAGTCTTGTCAATAAAGGGTGAATAATTTGGTCAGGGTAAACTGTTAATTTTTAGGTGATTTTTAAAAAAAATCTGTGCCATCATGTCTTTCTGTGCGGTTAACTGTTCGACTGCCACGTATTCATGGTGTGATCCTCTGTGGAACCCGAACTCCTGTTTTTAGCTTTATATTTTATAAACTGCCAGATTGTACGACTTTTATGTGTATTTTTAAAGCTCGACGGTGTGCGGGTCCTTGTCTCAGTTGAACGAGCTGTTTTGTACCCTCCTGTACAGTTTTATAATTCTGCTCATCTGGGATGGCGTCGTAGGGTGAGCCAACCACAATAAAGGTGGTTTGAGATCTAGGCATCAGTGTCTCCTTAAAGACTCGGCCAAGGGGTCGCGTTTGCTGTCTGTCTGGGTGGCGCTGGGTCGGATGCTGAGTCCTGAGCAGCTGGCTCTGCTGGCGGGAGGACAAGGTCCTGTCCAGGCATCCAGGGCGGGGTCTCGGGGCTGGAACATCCTCCTCGAAGGCCGTTTGTGGGAGACACTTCTGTGAAACAGGAGGAGGTTCTCCAAAACCTTTTTCTGTTTAAGCATCCCCACCCATGTCTCCCATGAGCGGGAGAGACAGAGAGAGAGAGAGAGCTCCCAGCAGGTCTTGATGCCACAGTCCACCCCAGCCTCAGGCAGCTGGATTGTGGGCACGCGGGTGCTCTCCAGACCAGAGCCCAGGACCTCCCCACGCGGGGCAGCTCACAGGGCACCTGCATCCTTCTGCGGCGCCATACTCTGGCCCTGGCCAGGGTCTTGATTTGGGTGGATTCCAGGGAGGTGTCCAGCTGGGACGGACATGTCAGGTGGTGTGAATTGGGCTGCAAAGCAGGGTTTGGGTCATGTGTGCAGTAAATGAGAACCTGAACCAAAAAATCCAGCAGGGTAGGAAAGCCGGCAGGTCCTGGGAATGCCCCGACTCAAGCTAACCCTGACGGGATGGAGAAATGAAAGGGGATTGCAGCGTGACCAGGCTGCTTTGGGGGGTGGGTGCTTTCTCTCTTTCTCTCTGGTGGGAAGTCTTACTTTCAGCCATTACAGTCTGGTGATTAAAAAAAAAAATTCTAAAAGTTCAGAATCCACAAGGGGACTACGTAGTAGCCAAACCAAATTCAGGAGGTAGACCCAGTATAAGCATGGAGGGTATTATTTGTTTTACTTTTTGGAAAGAAACTTTAAAGCATAGATATTATTTATAATTAAATATATAAAGCAATTTATTTTGAAAATCCCTTCCCAAAATCCGAGTCTAATTTTCTCAACTACATGGGAGAGGGTTCTGGGGGAGGAATGGAGGGAAGCCAGATGCACGCTGAGGGCCCCCCCAGCCGCCCGGTGGGAGAACACAGAGGGGGCGATGGTCCAAGTGGGTGAGTTCACTGCGGGGCAGCTGCTGGGACCAGAGAACTTTCAAATCACTGGGGCCTGGTGGGGAAGGAGCACAATTCAGGGCAGCACCACGAGAGGGCTTCAAGCTCACAGAAAAACGAATTAAAGTGCAAATTTATTTTGGTGCAAAATAAATTGTGACATCCGTGCATAATGTTCTCATAATATGCATTTCCAAGAACTTGTAGATGACTCCCCCCATGTAAAAGAGGAGGGAAAAAAAAGAAAACTGGTAAACAAGAAAAGCTCAAAATTAGAATGTAGTTTGGTGCCACCTGGTGGCAGAGTAAATAACTTATCTCTGCAGGGTGGAATGTTTGTGCTTTTCTGTATTTTGCAGATGGTCTTTCGTGAGTGTGAGGTGAGTGTGTACTCTAATAATAGTGGAGAGAAACATTAACTTGTCTAAGCCCACCATTCCTTTTTCTTTTTTCTTTTTTTTTTTTTGGGGGGGGGTTACTATAGCACAAGTTCACTCTCCAGAAAGATAGAGAAAGAGAGACAGAAAGTGAGAAATCACCCCCCGGAGGGATGGCCATGCAGCAATCCCTTCTCCTCCATTCTCCTCTCAGGATCTTGGGCGCGCACGCACACATGCCTGGCGTGAGTTTAAGCCGCCGGGTTCATAACTTGAACCACGGTCAACTACATGGGAGTCCAGCGACATAGCCATTACGACAACTGCTGGTCCCAAGCCCAGCCTTCCTATCTGTGAATAGCAGAGGGCACCTTGAATGAGCCCTGAGATTCTTCCAGCTCTGAAGGCCCTGAGTGGGCACCTAAAGAGCTCCCAGCTGTTGATTGTGGCTATTTTTTTTAAAAATAATTATTTATTTAATTTTATTTATTGTTATTTCTAATTTGCTGTAGGGTACGTGTGCTCACCAGAGAAAAGACGTGAGAAAGCAAGCCACCGAGTCCAGAACTTGGATTGCAGTCAGCCATATTGAGAGTCCAGCGCCCTAACCACCATGCCACCTGCCGGCACTGGTACTGGTTGTTCTAACACCGCAGCTTCGGGCTGTATCTACGCCGAGTCCTGCTCATGGCTGAGCTAAACCGCCCTCAGCTCTGGGCCCCTCGTTTGCTTTCCAAGTCTCCCCCATCTCAGGAAAGTGGTGTCACAATCCGGATTTTCCTCTCCCTCTCCCAGCCTCAGGTCTCACTCCTCCCGTGCCTTATAGGTCGGTTACTCTGTCTCTACTCTTCATCCCCCAACCCCAAATTTGGACTCAGCAGTAGACTAACGTAGGGCAATTTCCCAAAGTTTGTGCCTCAGAGTATTAGTTTCAGAGAATATTTAACTTAGAAAAACAGGACTTAAGGACCAAATAAGGATTAAATAAAGGTCCAGGCCAGCCCAGAGCCTGATGTTAAGGGAACCAGATTCCATATGGCCAACCATGGTTTGAATCCCAGCCCTAGTGGTTTGAAAACATGCTGAGTACATGTATATACATGCCCCAAACCCCCAGGGATGGAGAAGTGGAGGAGAAGGGATTGCAGTGTGCTCTTGCCCCACTGGGAGTGCTTTCTCCCTCTGGAGTGCCCGTGCCTTGTAGCGAAGGAATGAACGAATGAATGTCCCACGTCTACTGTGAGACTTTTCAGGAACCTCTAATGTGCTCACAGTATATCCCTGAGAGGAGATATAGACATAACCTGTCGCAGCCCCCCATTCCTTTTTCTTTTTTCTTTTTTTTTTTTTGGGGGGGGGTTACTATAGCACAAGTTCACTCTCCAGAAAGATAGAGAAAGAGAGACAGAAAGTGAGAAATCACCCCCCGGAGGGATGGCCATGCTGCAATCCCTTCTCCTCCATTCTCCTCTCAGGATCTTAGGCGCGCACGCACACATGCCTGGCGTGAGTTTAAGCCGCCGGGTTCATGACTTGAACCACGGTCAACTACATGGGAGTCCAGCGACATAGCCATTACGACAACTGCTGGTCCCAAGCCCAGCCTTCCTATCTGTGAATAGCAGAGGGCACCTTGAATGAGCCCTGAGATTCTTCCAGCTCTGAAGGCCCTGAGTGGGCACCTAAAGAGCTCCCAGCTGTTGATTGTGGCTATTTTTTTTTAAATAATTATTTATTTAATTTTATTTATTGTTATTTCTAATTTGCTGTAGGGTACGTGTGCTCACCAGAGAAAAGACGTGAGAAAGCAAGCCACCGAGTCCAGAACTTGGATTGCAGTCAGCCATATTGAGAGTCCAGCGCCCTAACCACCATGCCACCTGCCGGCACTGGTACTGGTTGTTCTAACACCGCAGCTTCGGGCTGTATCTACGCCGAGTCCTGCTCATGGCTGAGCTAAACCGCCCTCAGCTCTGGGCCCCTCGTTTGCTTTCCAAGTCTCCCCCATCTCAGGAAAGTGGTGTCACAATCCGGATTTTCCTCTCCCTCTCCCAGCCTCAGGTCTCACTCCTCCCGTGCCTTATAGGTCGGTTACTCTGTCTCTACTCTTCATCCCCCAACCCCAAATTTGGACTCAGCAGTAGACTAACGTAGGGCAATTTCCCAAAGTTTGTGCCTCAGAGTATTAGTTTCAGAGAATATTTAACTTAGAAAAACAGGACTTAAGGACCAAATAAGGATTAAATAAAGGTCCAGGCCAGCCCAGAGCCTGATGTTAAGGGAACCAGATTCCATATGGCCAACCATGGTTTGAATCCCAGCCCTAGTGGTTTGAAAACATGCTGAGTACATGTATATACATGCCCCAAACCCCCAGGGATGGAGAAGTGGAGGAGAAGGGATTGCAGTGTGCTCTTGCCCCACTGGGAGTGCTTTCTCCCTCTGGAGTGCCCGTGCCTTGTAGCGAAGGAATGAACGAATGAATGTCCCACGTCTACTGTGAGACTTTTCAGGAACCTCTAATGTGCTCACAGTATATCCCTGAGAGGAGATATAGACATGTATCCCCAATAATTGACTTTTTTTTCCTATGAGAGAGAGGGAAGGGGGAGAGGCGTCGGACAGGGCCTCACCGTGCTGCAGGCCCCCGCCACAGCCTCCCAGTTAGCTAGCATTCCGAGCACACGCCACACACCCGACTGCTTAGGCTGCTCTGGGATCCAAACACAGGCTCTCATTTAGCCCCAGCCTTGTGCTGCAGTGTCCTCCAGCCCTCCAACACCAGCAGGCCCTCCAATTACTGCCTTTGACTTAAAAAAAAAAAGATGTTTAGATGGAAGAGATAATGTTGTATTTTCACCAACTGTTATTTCATTTTCCTCTTTCTGCATGCCCAGGAAAACAAAACTTACCAGCCTTCCCAGCCTGCACTGCAGTTCATTTGGGACCATGTGACTAATTCTGGCCCCTGGAAGTGGAAGTAACTTTGACACTTCTGAGCCAAAGCATGTAAGCGCTGGGCCCGCCTGCAGCTCGCTGTCCCTCCTCCCTGGAGGTCAGCGATTGCGGAGGTCATGTACCAAGCTGGTACAAAACAGGAGTCGCCTGCATCATGGAGTCACAGCGCAGAAGGCAGCTGGCCTGGAAAGTCACCCGACTCAGAACGGACTTCTCATGAGTGAAAATAAACCCCGTGTTAAGCCTCCGAGGTGTCAGGGGTAATTCACAGCATAGGCAGAGTCTAGGGGATGGGATGGGCAAGGCTGAGCTGCTTGTCCCATTCGTGAGTTAAAAAGTTCGTGCTCTGACGGACCAGCAGATGGTGTAATGGTTAGGTGGCTGGACTATCATGTAGCTGACTATGGTTCGAGTCCCAGACCCAGCAGCTTAAAACTCACACTGGGTGCGTATGCATGCATGCCCAAGATCTTGAGAGGAGAATGGAAGAGAAGGGATTGTGGTGTAGCTGTCCTCACTGGGGGGTGATTTTTTGCTTTTGGTCTCAGATGAGCACACGTACCCTCTAGCAAAAATTCTCTCTCTCAAAAAAAAAAAAAAAAAAAAGACCGTGCTCCAAAAGTCTCTCTCGCAAAAAAAAAAAAAAAAAAAGGCCGTGCTCTGAGATATCCAGAGGCCAGGAAGAGGGGTTCTGGGGCTGGCTCCACGGTGCTGCTCAAGGAGCTGGATCACACATGGAGACTGCGGTTCTAATCTCCACCAGGCCAGCCTGAGACCTGGCTGGCATGCATGCAAGTGTGTGAGATTTCACAGGCTGGAGGCCTGGAGGAAGGGGATTGCAGTGGGACTAGGCCCAGGGAAGGGTGCTCAATTCTCTCTGTCTCAGGCGTGCCCGGGACCTGGTGGGGACCCAGCAGCTTGTACTCCCAGTTGAGAAGACCCAACCAGGATAATCCCCATGGGTGGGTTAGCTCTCTGACCCAAAAGCCAAGAGCGCTGGGCCCAGGAGGTGCTGGGGCCTTGACTGGCTCAGCTGCTGAGCCATCGACACCAGCAGTAGAACTTCGGCAGTTCTCTGGATTTGAGGTCTCAGGTGCCCCAGAACTCAGCAGCCGGTGAGGCAGCCCAGAAGTGCGGGAAAGGGGAGGCAGAGTCGTACCCCAGAGGTAGCCTGCTGCCTTGTCGAGGTCACTGGGCCCAGGCCCTGCACCTGTCACCTCTGCCCCTGGACACAGCTGGAAAGGCAAACCTGTCCTGATTCACCGTCTAGCGTGGGTTGTCTGGGAGGAGCAGAGGAGCCTGGGAAGGTGAGTGTCTGGCACTGTCCTCTCCTAGGATAAAAGGCATCACACCCCCTAACAGGCTCACTGCTGTGGGGCTTCTCCAGTCCCAGGGAGGGGTCAGATGCAGGCTGCCACAAATGCCAGCTGGCCTGACACTCACGCACATGCACTCACTCCCTCACTCTCTAATGGCGACATTCGCAGAATGGATTTATGACGAAGCACAAGCACCTGGCAGTATCTCAGCGACTTCCTGAAAACCACAGGTATCTCTTGGGTCTTGCCTTTGCTCTTCAGTGAGCCAGGCAGCTGCCTTTGGCGTCTTTCCTAAGGAAACACTCCACTTTCCATCTGCGTTCCTAGCAAAGCCTCGGGGTTAGTCTCTCCCTTGGAGGTTAGAGAAAGAAAAGGGCGGCTGCTGGGTGCCGTGACGTCCCTGCATCTCTCAAAGCAGAGAGAGCTTCTCCCCTCTGGAGACTGCCTCTCCCTCCCACAGCTCCGTGGCTGGTGGTGTTTATGAATAAATCTGCGCATCCACATAGATTATGCTCCTTAAAAAGTCTCTCAGGATCCAGCTCTTTCCAGACCTACTCGGGTTTGTAAAGGAATGTGACCTGCAGCTTGGGTTCCTGTAGAATACTTGCCCTTCAGACACGGTGGCAGAATGCTTGCTCATCCTGGCCACAAGGTGGCGCCTGTGTGCAGCCTCCGAGCCCCACCTGTTGGGCGTTGGCCTGGGGGACCAGCCATGACTTCTCTCCTCCACTCACAGAGGGGTCCAGGGGATGAGGCTGGGGTCCAGACAGAAGAAGGCCAAGGAGCCTGGTCTCGTGAACAACCCAATTTCTTCCTTTGCTGGTAGTTGTCTAAGTCACTCATATTCACACACTTTTCACCGAAGGATTAACAAAACAGTATGTCCAGGCCCGTCCCGTACAGCGAGCTCGATCTCAAGTCTGATGTTCTCTGCTCCACACAGTGACCAGTACACACACTGAGGAGTCACCGGACACCGACAGCTGCGGGTCTAGGCACCGACGGTAACACTAACCACACACTTCTGCGCCACGTGCCAGGCTCCCAGTCAGCATTTAAAAATCATCACACTTGAGGCCAGCAGGTGACGTGGTGGTTAGGGCACTGAACTCGTCTACATGGCTGACCACAGTTCAAATCCCAGGCCTGGTGGCTTTCTTTCTCACTTTCCCTCTCTGTCTCTCTACTGAGTGCCTGTATTTAAAAAGAATAATAATAGGGACCAGCAGTTAGCGTAATGGCTATGTTGCTGTATGTTGCTGGACTCCCATGTAGTTGACTGCGGTTTGAGTCCCGGACCCGGTGGCTTAAACTCATACCGGGTGTGTGTGCGTGCATGCTCAAGATCCTGAGAGGAGAAGGGATTGCGGCGTGACCATCCCCCCTGGGGGGTGATTTCTTTGCTTTCTGTCTCTCTGTCTCTCTCGGTCTCTCTAGCAAGCACACACACCCTATAGCAAAAACCTCTCCAAAAATAATAATAATAATAAATAAATAATTTTTCTTTTTTTTTAGAGAGAGAGATTTTTGCTATTGGGCACATGAGCTCACCAGAGAGACAAGAGAAACAGAAAACGAGAAATCATCTCCTGGGGGGATGGCCATGCCACAGTCCCTTCTCCATTCTACTCTAAGGATTTTGGGCATGCACGCACACAGGTTGGACGTGAGTTTTAAGCCGCTGGGTCTGGAACTCAAACCGCAGTCAACTACGTGGGAGCCCAGTGATGTAACCATTATGTCATCTGTTGGTTCCCAAACTTAAATAACTCTTAAAAAAAAAAATCACACGTATTCCTTCTAGAAGCTCTCTGAGGAAGGGCTCTCGAGTGCAAAGACTCAGATGCGGGATCCCAGCTGTCCGGGTTTACAGCTCAGCTCAGCCTCTTGCTGGCTGTGTGCCTACTCAGCTCCGACTCTCCAATTACTCCACCGTGACTCAGTTCCTTCTCTGCAAAAGGGGTTAACAATAGTGTCTCCTTACAGAGTTGCTGTGAGTGTGAGGCCTGGTGACTCCGGAAAGGCTGAGAACATAGCAAGCACAACAGGAGCGCCACTGTGACTGCTACCCCCATTTTGCAGAGAAGCAAGCAGCTTGCTCAGGGTCACACAGCCAGCAAGGGACTTAGCAGAGAGTCAAACACAGGTCCTGGTAACTCCACTCTGAGAGACTGCCCCCTGGTCTCTGTCAGTGGCCAACGAGCCTACGGCCTGTTGGGAAGCCCTGCATTTTAGGAGAGTCAGAAATATGCTAGGCCCCAGGGGTCGGGGACTGTTCATGGAGATAATTCTAGGACTTAGCTACTTCCTGAACCCCTGTCCTCATTTGCCCCTCTCCAAAAACAGCCTCAGGTCCTCAGGGACACTCAGCCGGTGGGAGCTCTCACCAACCCTCCACCCCAGTCCAGGTCCTAGGGACCCAGCTACGAGTGGATGAGATCCCAGCCCAGTGAGCGCAGGGCTCCCACCTCACTCTTACTGAGGCCTGTGCATCCCCTCTGCTCCCTGGACCATGGGGTGCCCACATGCCGTGAGAGGCTACCTCTGATGAAATCGAGACAGCTACGAAGGAGCAGCCGTCGCAGGCTTGCGGGAGCTCAGGGCCGGCACTTTGGCCTTCGGCCCTCCGAATGAGAAGCGCAGCTGTCAGAACGCCAGGCTCCCCAGAGCTTGGCCCACGTGTGCGTGGAGGTGTTTTCAACCACCGAGGCCATTTCACTCGCTCTCTTGTAGCCAAGACCCAGCACCAAATTAAGCCATCAATGCCATGGCCAGCCGAAGCAAGGTGCAGTTTTATTCTGGAACATTCCTTAACTGACTGATGATGTCACTAGGCGTTCATTTGCACCAGCAGGTGCCAGAGGCTCTCATGCTGGATGCTATTGCATGTGGCAGAAACCAGCTGAAACCGGCTGAAGAAGAGCCAAAGGACCGACTCAGGGAGACCCACCTCCAGAACGGCCCTCACTTCCCCTCGGATACTCTGAGCTCCTCCTCACCCCCTGCAGACCCGTGAACCGGGGTCAGGGCCTCAGGCAGCATCTGTGGTTCTGCAGCCAGGCAGGAAAAGACTCTCTTCCCCAACTTATTAATAGCATAGTGAGAAAGGCCCGAACCAGGGCACTATTGCCAACCTTGGACCAATCGTTTGGCTGAGAAGGGGGTCAAGTCAGAAGATGGAAGCACCCCAGAAAACGTCTAGAGAAAGAAGGAGTTCCCTCCAAAAAAGGGAGAGTGCAGACATAACTCCTGGAGTTGGTCACAACCGGGGCGTCTGCCCTAACTTTTGTACGGCCGATGCTATCAGAACACATCCGTGCCATGGGCCCCTCAAAGCCCTGGGCCTGGTGCAGCCTTCCCTCCCCCAGCATCCTCAGTGGCTTCCTTTCTCCAGCAGGGTGACAGGTTCCAAAAGGAGCTGCCATGAAGAAACTGAGGCACAAAAGCACCGAGAGAGAAATTGCTCCGTGGCTGCAGCCCCTCAGCATCCATGGCCCTGTCCATTCTGTTGCTGGGAGGAGCTGGTTTTGACTCTGCCAAGCCACGTGTTCCAGTGGTTCGTGTGAGGCCGGCCTGCAGGAGCCGGAGCCTCTGCTTGGGGTGAGCTTCGCTGGCCACCCAGCACACACCTCTGCACCCAATTCTTATACTTTCTCTTTATTAGTACGAAGTCACTCTGTTAAAGTAATTTTTAAAGAATGATTTAATTAATTTATCATTTTTTTTAATTTGTTGTAGAGCACATGCGCTCACTATAGAGAAAGAGAGAGAGTGGGAGAGAAAATGCAAGCCACCAGGTCCAGGACTCAAACCACAGTCAGCCATGTGGGAGGCCAGTGCCTTAACTATCATGCCACCTGCTGGCCTCGCTGAGTCATTTTTGAAATCGCCAGACAAGGTGGCAGATAGGATAAGACCTGAGAAAGCGGTTCTTAACCTCATGGAAGGTTTTTGTCAAAGCCAGGGGAGCTCCCGCTTGGGTATTAATTAGCCTACCGCAGGGAACCCGGTGGCTCTTTCTAGAACTGCCCCATTCATCTGAGGCCACAGTTTACTCAGAAACTGCACATCGAAAGAAGGAGTAGGACCAACCCTGTGGTCTGATGGTTACGGGAACTGGACCCACATGGCCGACTGTGTTGGAATCCAGGCATGTGTACATGTGTGCCCCAAATCTCAACACGATGGAGAAATGGAGGAGAAGGGATCACGGTGTGTCCGGGCCCCATCGGGGGAGTGGGGGGCACTTTCTCCTTCTCTCTCTGCGTCTCTCTCCCGCGAGCGCACATGCCTTCTGGCAAGTTTTAAAAAGGGGAGAGAAGGTGAAGGAGGGAGGAAAACAGTAAGGTGGCTCCTGAAAAACGTGGAACAGGATTACCACACGATCCAGCAGTTCCACCCCTGACACATCCCAAAAGAACTGAAGCAGGATCGCACACTGCTGTTTGCGCACGTGTGTTTATGGCAGCATCCTTCACAACAGCCAGAAGGTGCACGTGAACCAGTGTCCGCAGATGACTGGACCACAGTTGGTCCCTGCCGTGGAATATTACTCGGCCTGAAAAAGGAAGGCAATTCCGACGTATGCTGTGGCCTGGATGAATCGTGACGACATGCTGAGCGAGACAAACCCGTCACAAAAGGACAAATGCCCTGTGAATCCACTTACGTGAGCTTCCTGGTGGTCAGACTCGGAACAGACAGCAGAATGGTGGTCACGTGGTCGCCAGGGGCTGCGGGGAGAGGGAGTGGGGAGTTAGTGTTTCGTGGGCGCAGCGTTCCCATTTGGGAAGGTGAAAACAGTTCTGGACAGGAATGACGGTGACGGTCGCACATCCGTGTCACGATGCTTACTGGCACTGACCTGCCTGTGGAAATGCCTGGAAGAGTCAATGGTATGTTTTGTTTTGTCTTTTAGATTTTTTGCTATATGGTGTTTGTACTTGCCAGAGAGAGAGAGACGGGGTGAGGGTGGGGGCAGAAAGTAAGGAATCGCCCCTGGGGGGATGGCCATGCCTCAATCCCTTCTCCTCCGTTCTCCTCTCAGGATTTTGGGCATGCAGCACACATGCCTGGTGTGAGTTCTAAGCTGCTGGGTCCAGGATTCGAACCATGGTCCACTGTGTGGGAGTATTTTTTTTTTTTTGGAGAGATTTTCACTATAGGGCGCGTGCACTCGCCAGACAGACAGAGAGAGACATTAGAGACAGAAAGCGAGAAATCACCCCCCCAGGGGGGATGGTCACACCGCAATCACGCCGCAATCCCTTCTCCTCCATTCTCCTCTTGGGATCTTGGGCACGCACGCACGCGTGCCTGGCGTGAGTTTTAAGCCACCGGGTCCGGGACGCGAATCGCGGTCGACTACGTGGGAGTCCAGCGACATAGCCATTACGCTAACTGCTGGTTCCCTGTGTGGGAGTATTTTATCACCATAAGAAAAAGGCAGTTAATGTGAGGTTGGTCTGTGGTGGATGCGGGGCGTAGGAAACATGTGACTCCTCAGGGGCGGGGAGCCTGAATCGGCACTCACCCGTCTGGGGCAGCAGCCACCACAGTGACACGCGGCTCTGCTCTCCTGCCCGACTGTGCCGAACCCTGCAGCCAGCTTCACCTGAGCCCACAGGGGTATGTTTGCGCTTCTCACTGTCCCTTCTCCTGGGCTTGGCCGTGTGCAAAGGGTTTTGGAGACTGGCAAGGCCTGAGCTCTGCTCCCTTCCCTGCTGGGTTTTGTGCACAGTGCTGGGGCGTCCCCTCCCCTGGCTCGGTGCTCCTCTCCGGTAGTCCCCAAGTCGAGGACCTGGCCCTTGTGTTTGCCCCCTCTTTGTCATCTGGGTGACCGATTCAGAAACGTGGGGCTGCCTTCTTACTGGGGGCCACGTGGGGTCTGATCGGGCCAGCACAGGGGACGGAGTGGTCCCCTCCCACCTGCCAGGCACTGTGCGTCCTCATGGATCTCGTTCAGTGAAGCCCTGCCTGCCTGAGTCAGAGGGGAAGTCCCTAACCCTGGAACCGTCATCCTGGACGCGTGGGAACTTCCCTCTCCCTTTGTATCCTTTTTGTAAAAGTGAGCGTGTGACACAGAAAAATTACGAGTGCGTCACGCTGCACGGAAATACAGTGAATGCGCTGAAGCCACGCTCCCCACAGGACAGGAGGGCACTAGACCTTGTCCCCGCTTCTCTGCCCGTGCTCCTCGCCTCCCACCCAGCAGGCCCACTCCCTGGAATGGGGGGTTATCGCTCTGGAGTTCTTAAGTGCCTTCTTACTCCGCATGCCTGTTTGTTTTTAGTTTAGTTGACTGTTACACAGCATGTGCTGTTAGACTATTCTAGATGCTTTCAAACACTTCGGTTAGGCACACGAAGTCACTCTGTGAAGAAAAGGTTCTTAGCAATCCCATGTTACGGATGAGGAAATGGGCACAAAGAGAGAGTGAGTGACCGGCCCACGCCCGCACAGATAAGAAGCAAACGCAAGGGGTGCCTTCTGGTTCTTAGTGCAAAAGTTGTGTTTGGGTTTTTGTTTTTTGTTTTACAATATATCACTATTTTTATTTTCATTTAAGCCAAGGATGCCATGAGCTAAGGTGATTTACACAAGCTGGATGATTCACATTTTACGCTCGATACATTGTCAATAAATGTACACGTCATACATTTTAGAACGTTAAACCGTGTTTTCTACTTCATTGTTCACATCCACATGTTTTTATCTGAAATATAATTTTTACACAACAGCTCCTGGCGACTAAGCCAGCATGAGAAGAATTTTTAAGATTACTTCTAATGGTGATCGTAGAACCAACTTTCCTCATTAAGTACCTGGAAGGATCTAGCACACGCTTATGGTTTACTAAAAAATAGCCAAGAATGTAGCACTGGTAGGTGAGTCCTATAATAAATGTAGCCAACGTTCAAGATAAAAGGGCTGACTTTTAAGATCGAAACCCAAAATGAACTTTGAAAATATATTTTAAAATCTCTTCCCAACCACTGTTAACATACTCCTTTATGCGTTCACACGGCAAGTTCCAGAAGTTGCAATTTTGCGTGTTTTTGTACATCTTTCTATTGGGGCAGCTATCAATCATCGTCTTCCTCAATAGAGGTCTTGGTATTAACCTGTGCCCTTCCGTCTGGCCGAGCGCCCGTCTCTAGCTGAACTGGAGTCCCTTCATGGCTCCGCTCTGCAAACTGCTCGCTGCCTCAGGGGTCCCTCTTGTTCTCTGCCCTGCTCTGGCCTTCCCTGTGTGAGTGTGTGTTGTTCCTAGTGAGGACTCCCAACGAGAGGGCCTCTCTTGGTTTCTTTCATCGCTCTGTTCCATGTTTCTCATTTTGTTGGATCTTTCCTGGTCAAGACACTTACCCTTGGCCCTAGAATCTGAGCTGCTTTCCCCTCTGACTTGACTCCTTTCTGAAGACTGAACAGGCAGTTCTCGTTTTTCTCTCTCTGTTTATTATTTTCCTATCTTTCCCTCCTCCCTTCCCTATGCTCTTCCTTTGCTTTGCTTTTCTCTTCTTTCTCCCCTCCTCACTGTCAGTCACGGTCATTCCGTTGCCTCGCTCTTTCTTGCTCTCTTGGGACTATTTCTCCTTTTCCACTCTCTGTCGTTGCTTTCTCTTCCAGCTCTTCCCCTCCGTTTACCTTCTCGGTCACGCTTCTTCCGCTGGGAATCGCTCGGCTGGCCTCTGTGCCTGTAAGAATCCTTTTCTTCTCCATGGTCACGGTCAGGGCGATGGTTCTCCTGGTCTCTGGGTCGCCTCTTTTGGGGCTCCTCTTCCCTTTTCTCATGTCCCGTTGACTTGGAAGCGTTTATTTGGCATGTGGTGCCACGCCCTCTTCCTCCACTAGATGACCATGAGTTTGACTCCTGTGATGCTGGGAGTCCTTGTCAAGGGTCTCTGTGACTTTTCCCTTCCGCAGCGCTCTTTATTTTTTTCCATTTCATCATCATCGCTGCTCTTAACATCAACGTCACTGTCTGGATCTTCCTCTACGTTCATACTGCGTTTCTCCTGTGGTTTTCTGTTTTCTGAACTTACTTCGTCAGAGTAACCCCTCAATTTCTCCTCCTTTATCCCAGTCCTGGCTTCGCAAAGCCTGCATTTAGGTACTTCCTCTTCACCAACTGTCTGATTTAACGGGTGCCTATAAAACCCGCTGCCATCTTCCTGCTTGGTTACGTCCAAACGTGCGTCTACTGCAGAAGCCCTCTTTTCTCTTTCTTCCTCTTCAGCTCCCTCCTGCAGTTTGTTCTTAAAAGCAGATGTCACAAATGCCTGTTTATCATCAAAGTTTCCCTTTTCCATTTCTGGTGCTCTCTGCATTTTCTTTTCCATTCTTTTGTCCTGTTTCTTTTTTCTGATCTCAACTGCTTTTAGTAGGTTGTGAATGTACTTGGGCTTTCAATCTTTTCCCAAAAGCAATTTGAGATTATTTTCCTCCCTTTTCCCCCCTGCATTTCATCAGAAATATTGTCATAGTCGTACACGGTGGAATCTTCCAGAAGGCAAGGGCCTTGTGGATTTCCAATTTTGTCTGTTTCATGGCTTGTTTCTTAGCTGCTTCCTGTGAAGGCTTTCACTCACAGAAGTCTCATCCTCATCCTCATCAGAATCATTCCCAAACACTGATGGTTTTTGCAAAGCAGGGTGTAACCGCTGTTTTTATAAGCCCATACTTACTGCCTGAATCGCCATCTTGCTGCCGCCTCTGCCGAATGTGGCCAACCAATGCAAAAGTTTTTCTGAGACATATATCTAAGAGTGGAATTGTGGGTTATTGGATGTAAGAATATTCAGCTTTGCAAGATAATGGCTAATTATTTCCAAAAGGACCAATGCACATCCTTGCTAGCAATTATGACAGTTTCTTTCTCTATCTCTTTTTTATTTTTTTATTTTTGAGAGGGTTTTGCTATAGGGCGCATGCGCTTGCCAGAGAGACAGAGAGAGACAGAAAGCAAGAAATCACCCCCAGGGGGGATGGCCACGCCGCAATCCCTTCTCCTCCATTCTCCTCTCGGGATCTTGGGCACGCGTGCACACATGCCCAACTTGAGTTTAAGCCACTGGGTCTGGGACTCAAACTTCAGTCGACTACATGGGAGTCCAGCAACATAGCCATTACACTAACTGCTGGTCCCAATTATGACAATTTCTATTGACCGAAGACCTCCCCAACAAATGGTCTTGTTAGATTTCTTAACTTTTGCCAAGCTAGTTATATAAAATGATAATTTTGAGCCAGTCCCTTGGCCTACTGGCTAAGGGAGCCATATCTCAACTGGCCAATGGTATGGTTCAGATCCTGGCCCCCGGGGTCTGAGAAACACCCCAGGTGGGCATGTAAGTACATGCTAAAATCTCAGTGGAGATTGGAGAGTGGAGAAATAGAGAAGTGGAAAAGGAACTGCAGTATGGCCGTGCCCCACTGCGGAATGCTTTCTCTCTCCACCTCACTGTCTCTGTCCTCTCTGCTGAGTGCATGCACCCTCTGGAAAAAAAAAATTACAGTATTTAAAATTGTCTTGGCTGCTATTGAGTTACAACATCTTTTCATTTGTTTAGACATTTTTTTACCTTTGAAATGTTTCTTTTATGATTGGCAATTTTGAGTCTTGCCCCAAGGAGATAAAAATACTCTCCTATACTTTCTTTCTTTCTTTCTTTCTTTCTTTCTTTCTTTCTTTCTTTCTTTCTTTCTTTTTTTCTTTGAGAGGTTTTTCACTATAGAGCGCTTGCGCTTGCCAGACAGACAGAGAGAGACAGAAAGACAGAAAGCGAGAAATCACCCCCTAGAGGGGATGGCCATGCCACAATCCCTTCTCCTCCATTCTCCTCTCGGGATCTTGGGCACGCACACACACGCGCCCGGCATGGGTTTTAAGCCA